GTGGTAGTTTAACTATCAGCACATGAGTATATCATCTGTCATGTGTCACTGTGGCTGAGAGGTTGATACAGCTCTCCTAGAGCAAGAACCAAGGGGGCCCCAGGGAACATGGAGCCCAAGAGCGGAGCACCAGGGACGAGAACAGATTTATGCAGTGTCCCAAAACTGCAGGAAAGGGAGATTAGGAAACGTGATGCAAGCTAAGCAAGAGGCATGCACTAGAGGATGAATCCTCTGCATATTCCAGTGGGCCTGCTGGCACTCATCATTTGATGTTAGTACAGAGAAGACCGAGGAACAACTGCAGCAGGTTAAATACCAGTTCTTGGGGGGAGCAGTTTTTATAGCTGGGGGTAGAGCTGGGGCCCTTCCACTCAGTCACTCATGGGAAACCCGTTCCAAGGCCACATAGAAACTGTTCTTGTCATCTAAACAATGCCAACCAATTGGTCCGATTTCACAGTCTGCGCAGACCAGGAACTTGATGTTGCCCACGTCCTTGGTGAAGCCCACGTTCTCAAAGATGAACATATCATCAACCAGCCAGTGTTCCTGGAGGAGATCGCCTTCAGGGTTGCTGCCATTGGCCAGTGCTGGCTTCTTTCTCATGGAGGGAAGGAAAAGCTGCAGGGGAAGAAAGAATAAAGAATGTGAGCCCTCAGCCGGCCCAGGCACAGCATCGTCTTCAGTCTACCCCCTGTATCATGCTGCCAGCAGCTTCCTGGAGTAATAAAAAAGAGGAACTTTATTGTTATGCTATAGCCTAGGCTGCTGGGTGGCTCTTCTATGCTCTGCTGCTTTCTTAAAAGATATAAAAGAGCTCACCAGCCAGCTGCTGTGGTGACCCAGCTTTACTGATGTCATAAGGCCCTGTTATGTGATGTCAAGTTGGAACCAACTCAGCTGACCTTCCAGTGAGTTTTCGGAGGCTGTAAAGTGCACGAGATGAGACGGCCTGTTTTTCCTTTGCTGAGCAGCTAGTGGGTAAGAACCACCTGCCTCGGGGTTGGCAGCACCACTCTTTACCCACAAGGCCACCAGAGCTCTTATAAGACTCCACCATGATTTTATTATTTTTTTTCACCATGATTTTATAAAACATAATGAGTGAGACCCTAAAGAAACCATAACCGCCCCCCAAGCAGATATATGCACACCCATGTTTATTGTGGCTTTGTTTGCAATA